GACCCTTTAAGGTAAATTCACCCTGGTAATGGACGACTAAACTATTTATACGTGCAAGCACTTCAAGTTCCTGCTGTGTATGTTCGGAGGTATTTAGGGAAACTATAAGAGGAATACACAAAGTAGGTTGAGGGAAACTAGGTCGAACTAAAGGGGAAATAAAACACACCTGGAAGTACGTCCTTGTAGATGCATGAGAGACAATAACACTTGTGTCCTTACATCCCGAGAGCATTGACAAGAAAAAAATCCAAGTTTTTTTTTATCACAGCATTAACTGTAGAAATGAAGCGAGGCGGTGCTGATTTGCAGCGGGCACTTCCTTACTGTGTGAAGAGTGTCGATTTCTGAAATGAAGTCTGTCCCTCGTCTCCTGCCCTGGCATTGATCTGATGCGCCTGGACGGAGTTCAGAAGGAGGCTGATATCTGAGCGGAGCTGATGTTTGTGAATCACCGGGTCAGTGGGTCACATCGCTGGACATCCACTCAGCCAACAACTCCCTCCGTTTCCCTCAGAGCGGCCGAGGAACCGCTCACTATCACTGGTGTAGAGTAACCAGATTAACTCATAATAATAATTATACATTTAATTTATAAGCGCACTTTTCATTTGAGTAAACAAAACTCAAAATGCAACAGAGTAAAATGGTCGATACAAAGCAACAACAAAACAAAACAAAAATATATATAATGAAGTAAACAACAGAATCAAAACAGTGGGTTTAGGCCGGCATGGCAACAAGTGGGGGTTTTAAAGATCTAGTAAAAGGCTATTCTAAAAAGATGCGTTTTAAGGCCTTGTGCTTTAGTAAGACGTTCTTACTTGAGTATTTAAAAAAAAAAAGTCTACTCGACTACAATTCAGAGGCAAATGGTGTTCTTTTACTCCACTACATTTATTCAGTGGTGGAAGAAGTACTTAGATTCTTTCCTCATGTTAAAGTAGAAATACTTTGATCTGAAAATACTTAACTACAACTGAAAGTCCTGAATTCAAAATATTACTTATAGAAGTACAGAAGTATTGCCAGCTAAATGTGCTTGAGGTATCAAAAGTAAAAGTACCCATTATGCACCATGGATGTTTTGAAAGTATCATATTAGAATATGAAATGAGTTATTCTTTTAATGGCGTACACATACACGTAAGAGCATTTCAATGTTGAAGTTTGTTAATATTAAGACGCTTTTAGATTTGTTTTCAATATATTGGTAGTACAGTACTGCATTATATCATATAAATAATATGTTATATGTAAACATAGCTGGTTACTATTAAGGTTAAATAAAAGAAGTGGAGTAAAATGTTCCAAAATGAAGTGGAATAGAAATATAAAATAGCATTATATGGAAATACTCAAGTATGACACAATAGTTCTTTAGTGCAGTACTTGAGTAAATGTACTTAGTTACTTCCCGCCACTGCATATGTATATGTCAAATGCAGATGTGGAAAAAGACCTTATTGGCTCACACACTTACACACTTACACACACACACACACACACACACACACACACACACACACACACACACACACACACACACACACACACACACACACACACACACACACACACACACACACACACACACACACACACACACACACACACACACACACACACACACACACACACACACACACACACACACACACACACACACACACACACACACACACACACACACACACACACACACACACACACACACACACACACACACACACACACACACACACACACACACACACACATACCATGTATACATCACTTCAGGGGACATTACATTGACTTACATGCACTTCCTGGAGACTTATCCTAACCTTAACAATAACCAACACATGCCTAACTCTAACCCTTAACCTTACCCTTACCCTTAACCTCACCCCAACCCTAAACCTAACCAAGTCTTCACCCTAAAATGAATGATTCCTCTCATGGGAACCTCCATTATGTCCCCATAAGGGAAGCGAGTCCGCCACACTTGACTGTGTAAACCAGACACGTGTTAAAAGAGAAAACGCAAAACACAAGAAATACAAAAAAATAAAAGAACATGCCACCACAACCAACACCCCCCCAAACAAACCACCCACAACACACAACCCACAAAACACACACAAAAAACAACACACACACACACACACACACACACACACACACACACACACACACACACACACACACACACACACACACACAGTGCTGATACAGGAGTGAGCCCCTCTGAGAGTTGCTCACAGACCCTCTCAGATACAGAGAGCAGGCACCTAGGGACTGGAGCTGTGTTTAAACTCCATTACCAGTACCCTCTCTCTAATTAAACCAATGTTTTAATTAGGATTTGGACAGCCAGGAAGGAGGAGGGATAATAATAACGCTCATTCATCCAACAGAGAGCGTCTATTTCTAAAGCCTCCCCCCTCAGCAGTGTGCCGAGTGGATGACCTTGTGTGTGATCTGCCACCGACTCCTCCATAGTGCTTCATCACCTGAAACGCAGGTGTGATTTACAGGTGGAGGAGGTTCATTAGAGGCAGAGAGACTTAGACTCCGGCAGAAAGAGTCTAGACACGAGGAGAGCCTGCAGGTGGTCAGCTGACCTATTCTGAATTAGAATTAAAGTAGCTAATAGAGACTTATCCCTCTTATTTACAACAATCTGATTATTCGACTCTTGTATGTTAATGTAGGCCTTGTAACTGATTCAATAGCACTTACTATGGTATGATCTTGTTTGAAGTGAATATAGAGGTTATGTATTGATTTCGAATCGTTTCTCGTTCAGCAGAGAAACTTGTTTGTTGTGGCATTGGTGTAAACAAATTCCAAATTATTATGTGGTTTGGTTTGGTCTCCTTTCCTCTTGTCTTGAATCCTTTTCTCTCATCTCCTCTCATACTTTGTCCTCTCATTTCCAATTTATTTGTTCAGTTTGTTTGTCAGCAGGACAATGGGGGAAAAGCACTCTCCAGATTTGTTGTGAATTTGTTTTGAGGGTGTAGCATTGGCTTGGATATTTTTAGAGCGGATCCCAATCAGTGGGTTTACACACACATGATCTGCTTCTTTAGAAATCGTGATTCGGCCTTGGTGGAGGTCGTTTTGTTTCCTCTACTCCTAGTCTCATTTCCCCTCCCCCTAACTGGTGTCCTATCTTCTCCCCTTGTTTCCTCTCCTCTCCTCTAGTCTCATTTCCCCTCCCCCTAACTGGTGTCCTATCTTCTCCCCTTGTATCCTCTCCTCTCATCTTTTATCCTTTCCTCTCATCTCCTCTTTTATTTTGTCCTCTCTTTTCCTATGTACTTATTCACTTTGTTTGTTTGTCAGCAGGACAATGGGGAAAAACGTTTACCAGATTTTTTATAAAACTTATTTTCAAGGGACAAAATACATTTGCGGAGTGGATCCAAATCATTGGGTGGATCCACTTCTACTTTAGAGATGGGGCATTTGGTCTTGCCTGAGGTCTGCCCTCTCTGACTGCTCTTTAGTTGATTTATTGATGAGGACTGCGGTAAAAGTGTGATACAAGCAAACACTCTATGATTACAAGTCAACAATTTAGATATGAAATACAGGAAATCACAACCGAATTGGGTTCAAGGCTTTCATTTTATAAATAAGTAGCTCCAAATTAATCATTTGTTTTTGCTTTGGCAGACAGTTTTTTACAAAACATTACAGATACTTCAAAGCTGAAAACCTTGTACTAATAATAGTTGTCTAATAGTGTTGACTGCAGACAGAAATGGCATCGCACTTTGTTAGAAAGTACCGGATCATCGTGGCTTAATGAGTTCCTGAGCTCCTTATAAAATAATTGTTTATGATGGAAACATTTGCAGAAGACATTTGGCATAACCTGCTGGATTTCATTGAAAAACCTTTCAGGTCGCTGAAACGATATGAAACTATTGTATGAATGATTTGTTAAAGAACACTGTGTGGATGCACTTTGTCTTGTAAAAAGGCCTATATCTTTGTCTGTCTTTAAAAAACAGTTAACCCTTGTGTTGTGTTCGAAAGCTGTTACCGTTCATGGTGTTCGCGGTTCAATTTTGATCCATGATTTATCTCAGTCCAAAACACTCAAAAAAATGTCTGTCATGTTTAAACTACATCATAACTAACTTATAATACCTTCATAACCGTACAATCCTGTTGTAATTTAATGTTATGGCCCCAAACACATCACACCACATATTGAACACGTGCATATGTGTGTTCAGGTTCAAGTGTTATTGTACATATTCTTTGAGAATGGTGGAGTTCCCGTGGGGGGAGGGGGGCAGAGGGAGGGGAGACCAGGTGCATGTTGCAAAATAATATTGTTACAGTGGATGAAGGGGGAGGGGGAGGGGTGTCTAAAGTCAAAGATGAATGTTGATTGGGCCAAATTTGACCTCGAGTCACCCAAAACCATTTTGCTGGGTCTCCCCAGACACGAACACCAAATGATACACTTTTTTCTTTAGAGATCTTCAGACTTGGCTAAAATGGTCAAAATCTGTGTTGTAGTGTTTATATGGCTGTTGTGGAGGATATCATGAAGCCTTGTTCCGATAAAAAAAAACTAGAGCGTGGTTAATATATCATTTTAACTTGAAACGGGTCACGGGAGACCCGAACACAACATAACGGTTAAAGCAAATCTTGTCAAGCAAACCTGTCAGAGATTGATTACGCTGAATGGCTGTGGAGTTGGAAACACGTTCACTCTTTCTGAAATGCAGTGTTGGTTTCTGTGTTGTGATGGTTCAGTTTAATACGTGAATTCTCTCCATTCGATATGTTGATATATAATATCTGGGCCCCTGTTCTCAAGCTTCCTATAGGTTACTGTGCTGTCCCACTTCACATGTCTCCATTATGTCTCATGTTTGTACCTGTATCTTTATCTAACTTAAATAAAGGAATGATTAAATGACATGACTTGATTGAGTAATATTAATATATCTCCTCTCTTCTCTTCCCCCTCCTCTCAGCAGGAGATGGCGTACCGGTCCAGAAGGACGGGGAGCAGGTAAGTGTCATACTGACCCTCTGAGGAGCCAACATGGCCGCTGATTTGAACCAGTCTCCCTGCCAGCAGCTGAGCAGCAGCTCTCTGTAACTCGAGCTGCCAGTGCTTGTGCTAGTAGATTAAGTGAAGTAGTCACACATCATGTCAATGTCAGTCGCTTAACTTCCCCTACACCTCCCTAAATGAGAGGGGGGGTGTAGGGGAACAGTCTCTGGTTCGGTTGGCTCGTTGCTTGATGTCTGTTGGATAGTCGCAAAAAAAAGCAAAAGGCATCACTCTCCTTCTTCAACTTTTTACACATCATCCCTATATCTTTTTTACCCTCCTCTCCACTCGACTTCTCCTCTTCTCTCCTCTCTTGTCATATCCTCTTGCCTTGTCTCCTCTCATCTTGTCTTGTATCGTTCCCTTGGTCTTGTTTTGTGTCCTCCCCTTTCCTCTCCTTTTGTCTTGATTTCTATCCTTTCCTCTCCCCTCATTCCTTGTCTTCTCTCCTCTTGTGTCCTCTTCTCTCTTCTTGTCTTGTCTTGCCTTGTGTCCTTTCCTCCCCTCTCGTCTTGTATCATCCGTTCTACTCTCATTCTCTCCTTTCCTCTCCTCTCTTATACACTTCTCCTCTTGTCTTTTGTACTCTCTTCTCTACTTGCCTCCTTTATAACTTGTATCCTCTCCTCTCAACGCATCTCCCCTCCTGTCCTTTCCTTTTGTCTTGTGTCCTCTCTTTACATCTCCCCTTGTCTTGTGTCCTCCTCTACTCTCATCTTGTATCCTCTTCTCATATCTCCTCTTGTCTTATCCCCTCCTCCTCTATCTTCCTGTCTTGTATCCTTTCCTCTTTTTTTGTCTTGTATCCTCTCCTCTCATCTTGTGTCCTCACCTTTCCCCTCGTCTCGTCATCTATCTTTTCCTTTCCTTTCCTGTTGCCTATCCTCTTCTCTTCTCACGTCCTGAATCGTCTCCTTTCCTCTCCTTCCTCTCCTCTCCTCTTGTGTCCTCACCTTTCCTCTCATCTGTTGATCTACCTTTCCTTTCCTTTCTTCTCGCCTTGTATCCTCTTCTCTTCTCATGTCCTGAATCGTCTCCTTTCCTCTCCTCTTCTCTCCTCTTGTGTCCTCACCTTTTCTCTCGTCTCGTGACCTATCTTTTCCTTTCCTTTCCTGTTGCCTTTCCTCTTTTCTTCTCACGTCCTAAATCGTCTCCTTTCCTCTCCTCTCCTCTTGTGTCCTCACCTTTCCTCTCATCTAGTGATCTATCTTTACCTTTCCTTCCCTTTCTTCTCACCTTGTATCCTCTTCTCTTCTCATGTCCTGAATATTCTCCTCTCCTCTCCTCTCCTCTCCTCTCCTCTCCTCTCCTCTCCTCTTGGCTGCTTCACTGATCCCATGCTGTATATCTGACCCCCTGGGAGAGGACACAGGAGAGGAAACCATTTCGGAATAAATGTAGAGAACTCCACTTTTTCACCAAATGCACGGTGGACTTATTCCATTATTTATTTATGCATTGTGCCCCAGATTGCCCTTCGGCACACACACACACACACACACACACACACACACACACACACACACACACACACACACACACACACACACACACATCACCGTTGTCAGGGCTATTGGAGGCAATTTTGGAAAAGCTGCTTCAAGGGGCCGAGCACTACCACTCAAGTGTGTTAAATCTCTCATCAGACCCTCAGAGAGCGAGGGAGTCAAAGAGCAATGAAGTGGGAGCAAAAATAGAATAATAAAAAAGGAAGGAGAGTAGAAAAGGAACGGGAAGAGGCTGATAGATGCGATGCTGCCTGATGAAAATAGTGAACACCCATGTGTTAATGTCACTCAGAAATAAATAACCTGTTTGTTACATTTTTAAAGCGAATTTAAATAACAAATTGCATTCAAGTATTATACAATATTATCCTTTTGATGCATGGGTCCTTTTGTAGGGAGGCGTAAACCAATGTTGAAGTTCAGAGGAATTGTTCAAATGTTTGGGATTTTGCTAATCCGTAGTCTTGCAGAGAATTAGCTCAGAAGATTGAAAGCAGTCTCATGTCTAAACAGTAAACATGAGGGTATGGTTAGCATCTTATTAGCTTAGCTTAGCATAATGGCTGGAAACAAGGGGACATAGCCTGGCTCTGGCCAAAGCTACTGTAGTTTATCTGTTTCCCAGCACCTGTTAATATCTAACCATGCGAAAATATATCTTGTTTGTTTATTTAAAGTTGTCGTTTTATGGGGTAGATGCAATACAATTATAAATATATATAAACTAGGGCTGTCAAATGTATTCTGGAAACCTTAACGTTTAAACAAAAAAATGAAGTTTTTAATTAATATGACCAAGTTTGACCCTTAGTTGATTCCAGCACGGATGTTTATCAAGAATAGCATGACCGTGAAACAGCGGAGAATTCGGCACAACCTAATCAAGACTAATCACAGATCATTATTGTGATTAACGTGATTTAAAAAAAGTTTTAACAGCACTAATATGAGCGTTTATGTGCAAGTGACCGTCTGAAATAGGAGTTGTTAAAATCTAATAATGATAGGAAAGCCACAATTGGACGGGTTTAACAATATGCATGATAAATATTGGGGCACAGTTTGAATTTTTTTTCCAGTTTTTTATATATTTATTATTAATTTACTTCCTGTTCATATCTACAGGAAGGTGAAAACATCTCCCCTCTAACCCAGCAGTGTCCCAATCCCGGTCCATTTAGTGTCTGATAGAGAGGAATGCTGCTTATCTGCTTTTTCCCTATAGCATCTGCCTCACACACACACACACACACACACACACACACACACACACACACACACACACACACACACACACACACACACACACACACACACACACACCATGTATACATCACTTCAGGGGACATTACAGTACATTGACTTACATGCATTTCCTAGAGACTTATCCTAACCATACACACACACACACCCTTCCCTTTCCTCCTCATAGCCCCAGTCCCCTGTCTTTACGCAGCATCAGATAAAGTTCAACACATCTCTCTCACTCGCGCTCGATTTCCCGCTGGCTTTTTAGTGTTTCTGGCAGCACGTGTAAGCCGAGAGGACGCTCATCCCTCCGTAGCGTTTTCACTCTGCTAAACATAACGAAGCAAATAAACTGATCCCTGTTTAATCCCCCCCCCTTCTCCCTCTCATTCCGGCCCTTGACTCTTGCCTTCCTCCTCAATGGAAAATCCTGTGTATCTGTCTCCCTGTCTCTTAATTTCTCTGCATGTCCGATGTTCAACCCCCTCCTCTTTTTCTTCGTCTTCTCCCCATCCCCCCCATGCATGTATCTGTCTTTCCTTCTCCCTCTTTCCCCATCCCTCCCTTCCTCCTATATTTCTCTTCCTCAGCATGGACCTTCAGAATTGTCATGGGAAGGAATCAATGTAAGTGTTGTGACCTCATTCCCTCTTCCTCCTATATTTATATGTTTCTCTCACCTGTTTTGATTTAACTCACCCTGACCTCTTTCACCCTCCCCCCTCTCTTCCACCTCGGCCTTTACAGTCGATCTCTTTCAGGTTTTAGTCGTGGCACAATCAGAATTGGTGCAGGGTAAAATCTAAAAAAAGTTGGATTTGGAGATTTTGTATTAACCCAACATCTCCATCACTTCTCTCCACTCACCCTTCCTGTAACACACACTGTCTCGACGTCTTTGTGTGCCCCGTCACACTTCCCATATCCTTTTCTCCACGCTTTTCCCCCCCCTCCTCCATTCCTCTGTCTTCTCCCCCTCCAGCTGTCCATGGAAGACACCACGTCGATCCTGCCTCGGCTCAAGAGGAACTCTAATGCGTACGGCATCGGGGCTCTGGCTAATGCTTCTCTGTCAGGTGTGTCAGGTGTGTGTCTGTGCTGTAAACGGGTAAACGACCCCATGTTGGCTCGGCTGGAGCCAGCATGGTACCCGAAAATGGGTTCCCCTGAATCACTTCCTCTTCACACCGCAATAACACTCGTCAATGACTACCTCCTGAGTCATTGATGGAATTAAATCAGCCTTAAAAACACACACAGTGCATCCTCATACAGCTTGTTGCTCTAAGTAGACAAGGTGAGTGGGAAGTGTAGCTCTTTTTGTTAAGTGGCTGTGAAACAAACTGTGTAGCGTTAGTACAGTGAAGGAACTGAAACGTTGAATTTAATATATCACTGTATTAGGTTAGTTAAAAGCAATCATTTTAAGTTGAACCTATTTAACATTATTGCTCTCAACTAACCTAATACATTTATTTGAAATGTGTTGACATATACTACACTTAACTAAAGTCAACGGTTCAGTTTTTTCAGTGTATGTTTGTTTCGTTTTGTTACTGAAGAAAACAAAGGAGTCCAATGGAGGTGTTTCAGGCAGGGGGGGGGGGGAGTGTGTGGGAGAGAAAATTATTAGCCTTTACAGACTATTTAAATGCACAACAAACGATATAACACACTACAGGAAAGGGAAAACACCAAAAGGCATAGAAGGGCCTCTTAAAGTTAATTGGAATAATTATTTCAGTCTTGTGTTTATTGAGTTCTGTTGATGTTAAGTGTTATCAATCACATAGTTAAGTGTGTCTCTGTCTGTGAACTGGGACGGGGGTTAGTTTTGTTTTTTAGCTGGGGAAGCACTTTGTGTTACCTTATGCTAAGTGCTATATATACATCAAGTTTAATTGATTAAAACAACACACCTCACACACAGTGCGTCCTCATACAGCTTGTTGCTCTAAGACAAGGTGAGTGGGAAGTGTAGCGCTTCATGTTCAGTGGTTCTGAAACTGGGTAGTTTTGGGCTGCAGCCACACCAGGACGATTACGCAAACGAACCGAAATCGATATCAAAAAACTCTTCCGTCCACACGCAACAGGCACCAGAAACGTGTCCGTTCACACGAGACCGTTCGAAAGCGCTGGAGACGCTGTAGTACATATGTCGGGCCTGTAAGTGGCGCTGTAGTCTGCCAGAAAAGCAGCGAAGAAGACTTCCCGCGCATGGTTGCCATGGTTGCCCTTCTGTTTATTCTCCGCTCTGGCTCTTTTTCTCCCTCCCCGAGGCAAGCGTGTGCTCCTGCTGTAATTCTCTCCGGTAGTCCACCAGCA